GACCCTTGAATTTACCCGGGAGGTGGGTCACTTGGATCTCTGAAGACCACCTTGCTGGTAGATCCACAACAGCTGTTATACAGATGCTGAGAATAGGACTGGAGCTTCAGACAGACAGACTCATACCTCAGTGGAGCAGGGTCAGATGTCGTTCCAGAGAAGTTTCCGCAGCATACAGAGAGAGGTTTTGCTCCAGCAGGACGAGATGGTTTTCTAAGCCCTGTATACTGTTGGGACTAATGAGTCCTGGCCTTTAGCTGGATGTTGGGATTAATGAGTCCTGGCCTTCAGCTGCACTTTCCTCCTAGAACCTTCTAATTAAAGTTACTAGAAGCTGTGTCTAGCTTAGAAGATCGGAGGATGGGATTTTCACCTGTTGGCCATTGACTGCAGTGTATTTAAACCTACATGGTGCTAATAAAGAGGGGCTTTGGTATCAGTGTTAAAAGGTCTGTGTGTCGGTCTGTCTCTGCATCTGTGTTCTCAACCTCCAGCTCCTTGCCCGAAGCTCCCGAACTGGGGTCTAGCACATAGAGCGCAGACCGGGGCTGCGGTGCCGGCAGTACACGACTGCGCTTTGGTGGAGAAAGTTCCTTTTGGAAATTTGTGGGCAGATTGGAGATTGTGTCTGTGGGGGCGGGGGAAAGTGATATTGTGGTAACTAAACTGAAAAGTCAGGATCAAGGGTTGTTGTGTTATTGTTGCAAACAGGCCTGCCTCTGATGCATTGAAACAGGCGCAGAAACGCCTCTGTGACTGTGTTGTGAATCCATGTAGAAGTCTGAGAGTTAGTATTGAGATTTAAATTCTAATTACCACTAACTTCTATAGTCTCCAGAATATTGTCTTGCAGCTAATTAGGGCCTCCACTCACCTTTCCTTCTCATTTTCTTTATATTGTGTCTCCGTTGTCACTGTATGTTGGATTCTCAATTCAAGTGGGGGGATTAAACATTTGTAGAAAAATCAACACACTGAAGTAAGTAGCTGAGAGGAGAAAAATTAAGGAATAACAACCCACTGGTGAGGCAATTCTTGTTTCAGGTAGAAGTCTGTCTGGAGAATTTTGGCAGGTACGGACACATGCAAACTGTAGGCAAGCTATATACAAACATAGTTTGCAACTGTCAAATGAGGAGCAGAATAAAGAATTGCACAGCTGCAAGAGTTCCAACGCATGTGTTTTGTTATCTGTGGTAGCTGACTAGTATTTTACATTCTTAACTATTTTGCAGTCCATATAAGAAACGTAGCCATGCTACAAATTTTTTTAACTAGATAAGAAAATTCTCTAAATATTAATATAGTGTTGTTAGAAATATGTATTATATTTTATATTTTATAAGTATATTATTATATTTTATAAGTATAAATGTTTGCTATAGGATTCTTCTAGAAAAGGCAGATTAAGCTTTGAGAAGAACCATCCCAGAGGATCGGACATCAAAGCATGCCCTTTCTCAGTGTGATACAGACCAATAGACAAAACCATTTGCTAATCACTTACGAATTTCAGGCAGAAAGTGTTATAGCAAATTCTCTTGCCATGACAAGCAAGTGTATCTTCTGATATATAAACTTGGAGGGAGATAGGGTTCTGTGTGTCAAGGTTTCTTTGTAATTATGGCTATCTGGGTATGCCTAGTAAGTATGCCTGGTATGCAATTTTTTAAAAATTATGGATTTTTTGTTTTGTGCCACATGCCTTTTGGCAAACTGTAACCATTGGAAGTTATTGTACAATTATCTTTCTTTTTCAACATTTTTTTTACTGTGTGTGTATGTATGTTTCTGTGTGCATGGATATGGATACACACATGAACATTTGCCATGGTGCCTGTGTGGAAGTCAGGGACCAAATTTTGGGAGTTCTCACGTCCACCATGTGGGTCCTAGGAATTGAACTTAGATTGTCAGGCTAGCACAGCAAATACCTTTACTCACAAGTGTTCCCCCAGCCTGTATGAATATCTTAGAAATAGTTTCACAGAATGAACTTGCCCTCTCGCTTTAGTGCCAGTTTCATTGCCTTGCTCGGTATGAATAATCCCAGTTTCCTTAAACTTCCAGAGACAAAGGAGAAGCCAGGTTGAGAACTTGGCTTAGGAAGTCTAAGTGAAGGTCATATAGTATCTTAAAGTGGACATTCTGTACGGCCAGGTAGCAGAAGAAGGGTAGTGGGTTTGGGTCACTGAGAGAAGGTGTGTTTGGCCATAGCCAGTTCAGCACGGGGTCTGTGCACAACAACTTCAGGTTACTTCCTTATGTGCTACTGGGCGTGTAGTTTGGCTTTTGGGCAGAGCTCACAGTCCGAGCTGAATGACTTTTTTTTTTTTCCATTTGTACTGTGTAGAGAGATTGTGTTCCTAGCACCTACTCCCCAGAGAGCCAAACTCGTTCAACTGGCTGCTCCCTGAACAAAAATAATTACTTACATCTGATAAGGTCCTGAAAGGGAAGCAAGAGGAAAGTTAAACAAGAATGCTTATGGCCTTGAGACCTTTTCAGACAGGCTCTGAGCAACCAGCTCAGCTCAGGGTTGGTTTTTTAGGACCTTTTCCTTTGCCCTCCCTGCTGTACTCCCTTGATCCTGGCCTGTGGTCTTGGAGGAGTGGAAGCTTTCTGAACTATTTTCTTTTTGCTTGTTTGGTTCACCACCTCCATGAGGTAGTCTTTACTGTCTTAATTGTTCACTGGCTTAATAGATTCCTTGCTGTGTACAAACTCAGAAAGAAATTTTCTTTTTCTCTTTCCCCCTTCCTCTTTCTGACTCTCTTTATTTGTATGTGTGGGCTTTTAATTTTTATTTTTTGAGACCGGGTCTCTTTATGCACTCCTGACTGTCCTCAAACTCATTATGTAGACCAGGGTGGTCTCAAACTCAAGAGATCCTCCTGCCCTTGGCTCCCTAGTGCTGGAATTCCTGGTCAATTTCTCTTCCGTGTATGCCACTTTTCACCACCTTCCCACCCCACTTAGCAGGTCACACACCTGTCTCCTTTCTGAGTTGTTAATTGTGATTCACAACTTGTACTCATAGAACAGTGAAAAGTGAAAAGGCATGAGGCTGGAGCTTTTGAGATGTCTTTGCTTAAGTTTTTGGGGCAGAGATTCTGGCCTTCAACAAGTAATTCTTTGATCATTAGCATCAATACTAAAACTCAGTGTGTAACTAACTATAGGAGATCTGGGATGGGTAACAGACATTTTAGCATCACACCATGTCAGCTGTACTTCTGGTTTTGTTTTTATCAAATCTCTACAAAATGAGACTGCCCGAGATTACTTAGCAGGAAAACCAGTGTGTTCTGTTTCAGACTAGTCAGAATTAAAGCAGTAGTCTGCACCGACTCCAGAGCTACCACATCTCTGAGCAAGGGTACAGGCAAGATTGCCAGATACATAGAAGAGTGGGAACTATCACTTCTCTTCAGAATGAAACAGGTCTGGAGATGTCACTTAAAAGATGTGTGGGTGATATGAAATTGTTGAAGGTGGTTAGACAAAGACCCACTCAGTCATAGCTGCTGAGTCTGCGAGCACTAGACTTGGTCCACACAGTCAGATGCTCCCGACAGTCAGCTATGGAAGGAGAAGGGGCTCCTTGGGCCCTACCACTCACTACCGATTTATTGTCAGCAAATAGATTTAGCAGAGTGGGAAGCATAGCAGTTAGTCATGTATGTACCCACTGGTGACTCAGGGTCAGACAGATAGCCCTGGTTAAACCCCACGAGGAACAACAACAACAATAACAACAACGACAACAACAAAACAATAAACTAGTGAATGAAGGACCAAGATTCATAAGGAAGATAAGGTGCTGGAAGGGGCAGTAGGAAAATAAGGTTTGTGTGTATGCATGCATGGGTGTGTGTGTGTGTGTGTGTGTTGTATTGTGAGAGAGAACAGAATGTTTTATATACTTATATGAAACTTTTAAAGGACAAACTATATTAATAATAAAAAGAATGTCCTACAAGAAACAAGTAACTAATTTATTGGAAAATTGGTAACTGGAGTGGGGAATATTTTCATGCTATATCATTTTATGTTATGATTGTATCTTTGTGTGTGAGTACTCACAGGCCTCCACATTAGTGTGGAAGACATCCTCTCGCATCAGGCTTTGCCTTCTAGGTTCTGCTTGTTATTTTTCCTGCAGTGTGTACCAGGTTAGCTGGCCTGCAAGCCTTAGGGACTCTCCTTTTTCTGCCTCTCATCAAGGAATGCTGGGATTTCAGATGCATGAGTTCCAGGGATCCAAACTCAGGTCCGCAGGCACTCACAGTTAGCACTTTTCATTCTGAGTCAACTCCTCAGCTCATATTTGGAACATATTTATGTTTTTTCTTTCTTAAAGGATCAAGAAAAAATAAAGGTGGCTCTTTCTATAGTGACAATTTATGTAGTCTATGACCTACCTGGTTAGAATGTGGCTTTGTTTGACTGTATCTGGTGGGTGTAGAGGAGGTCCACACAAACTTTGAGAGATGAGGAATGAAATAGTTTTCATTGATAAACACTGTCTGCTTACTTGTTCTGAAGGTGCAGCTGTCTCAAAAGAGGCAAGCAAAAACATGAATCTCTTTGACATTTGTCAAATAGTCATTCATTGTCTGGGTAAAGGTAGAGTGATATGTGTAAAAAATGTGACATGCAGCTGAAAGGAATTTAGCATGTAGTGGGGCTGTAGTGGGGGTATATATTCTACCAATGGTCAGGATGATGCTATGGCTCCCTATTTCAGCATGAAGTCACAGAACTCTAGGATGCCTTTAAAATAATTTCAGTAACAATGAAATGAAGAAATCAAGGCCAGAATTCTGTATAAGAGAAAAAGGAAAATTCTTCCAGAGAAAAAGAATTTACTTTCAGCCTGAATTCCAAACAAAAGAGCAGAAAGAAGTAGATGGCTCAGAGAGGGCACTGTGTGCTTACTAACTAAAGGTTCATAGGTGTACTTAAAATTTATACATGTGCTCTGTTTTTTTTTATAGAATAACAATACAGCCCTTGAGTACAGTCCTTGGGTACATCATTGTCACTGCGCCCTGTGCACACTCTGTGGGTCTAGCATAGGAGGCTGGCCCCGTGGTGATGGGAGAGAAAGGTCGCCTAAACCGGGTGCTGTTGGAGTGCAGCCTCAGTGATAAGCTGTGTGGTAAGAGCAAAGACCACAACTGCCTGTGTGATCTGATGCTAAAACTATATAGACTGAGTTCTCGATGGTTCTAGAGAAGGACTGCTTTCTAGCAGATACCATTTTTGTGGTGGGGGATACATGCCAATCAGTTCAGGACAGAAGAAATGACCCTCATTGGTCTAAGATGCAGGGTTCCCTCCAAGGGCAATGAAGGAATGAGGGGATACAGGCGCATTGAGACACGGTGGGTAGGGGGAACTTGCAGGCCTCTTACTTCTCTTTCTGTTTATGGCTTACATAGTTGTCCAGGAGCATCAGTATGAAGTAATCATCGTTCCAGCTCTCCTGGTTGGCGGCTTCCTCATCCTTCTTGCAATCATCCTGTGGCTTTTTATTAGAGGACAGAGATCCCAATGGCAGCACCCTGGAACACGGGGTAAGACTCAAGCCATGGAGCTAGGCATAGGCTCAGGGAAGATTGATTTTAAGAAAGTCATAGGCCAAGGTTTTCATAGGTCTAAGCCACAGCAAGATGTTATGAATTACAAACCCAAGCCACTCACATATTGCATTCCCAAAGGTTTTTCTCTATAACTGCTTCTCACTTTTTAATGGTCTAGTTCCTCCTTGAAAACACAAAATAATTCATGAATGCCTTGCTTGGTATCTCAATTCATATGGCTTAGGAATCTCCAATAGCTTGTTGTATTTCAGAGAATGGAAAATAACAAGATTCTTCCCATGACCTTATATGACCTGGACTCTCTGCCTCTCCCATATCTCTCCAGAGAGTCATCCCACTTGTCTTCCATCTGTACTGCCTTCCTTGCTGCCCCTTAAATACTCACATACATTTTTCTCTTGGTGACTTAATACATCTTGTTCCTTCTACTGTAGTGTCATCATGGTTTGCTCTGTAATTACTTGTAGGCCTTTATTAGACATTACCAAATATGAAAGGCCCTTTTTGACTTCTGTAGATAAAATCATATTTCCTTTTGTTATTTTCCCTGATAACATGCTGCCTCAAACATTCTTATTGTTGTATGTCCTATGATTAGAAACTAATCTTAGGTGGTTATGAACTATGCCTAACCTCAATTCACAGACAGTATATGGTATATGGCCATTCTTCCTGATAACAAATGATTAGAAATTTAAGAAGGAAACTTTCCTAGTCAACTGGAAAGGTAGTTATGGATGGGAGATAGTCTCAGAAGACTTTTCAACTGAGAATCATGGAAATATAGAATAATTTCACGTTTGAGGGCAACCTGAAAAAAAAAAAAACAGAAAAGCTACAGCTGATGGCTGAGTATCTCTCTATAAGTCTCCTTCAGTTCTGGAAATCATGTGACTGACTTAAGGCAGTGGCTACCATCTTTTGGTACCTGTGCTATGGATTCCTTTTCAGAACTGTCCTGCTTCTGCACTACATTCATGCGAACACTGAAGATAATCCCAAGATGATAAAAAAGAAACCTGACCAGTTTCCAGGGCTTCATCATTAGTTTTTCTACACATAATGGAATTATTGTTACTGTTGTAGAAGCTTAGTGTTGGTATTCATTCATGGAGAAGCATCAGAAGATGTCCCTGTGTTATTCATTGAGAAATCTGACTGACCAATTTGTTAAGTCTGATTTTCTGGTGTCCCCAGGGCAGGGAACAGGTTTTGAACTTTGTCTCTTTGTTCTAGGTACTGCCTCTGCACCTGCATCTAGGGACCTAAGCCAGGAGGTGGCAGGACAAGGAGAAAAAGTGCTTCTGCCTCTTAAGGAGACCTCTGTGGAGAGCTTTCTACGAGCAGCCACACCGCCCCTGGCTAAGCTGCAGATACCCAGAGAACAGCTCTCAGACGTTATGGAGAAGATCCACAGTGGCAGCTGTGGGACCCTCTATCACGCCATGATGACCACCAGGGACAACCCTACGCCAAAGAGTGTTGTCCTCAAGGTTTTAGTAGGTAAACTATGAAGATTCCCTTCTCTTTCTATGGTGAACCTGTACCTGTAAATATTAACAGCAACTGCAAACTTTAAGATATGTGTCAGAAGATATGCTTATTGTGTATAAGGGAAACTGGTTGCAGAGTTGTTCTTCCTGGGTCTTTAGATTTCTGCCTTACCCTTGCCTATGGAAGTCTGTAAAGAAGACATTTCCATAGTAGATGCTACTTGGCCTAGGGTTATGGGATTTTTTTAAATTTTTTTTTCTGTTTGATACATTTTCTTTTAAATTAATTAATATATTATTAGCATGTTTCTCTGTGTGTGCACATGTGTGCATGGCATGTATGTGTGAGTACAGGTGTGTGCCACACAAGTGTGAGGTCAGAGGTTAACTTTCAGTTGTTGCTTCTCCCTTTCCATTGTGGATTCCAGTGACTGAAAAATCATCAGGCTTCCATGTCACCAGTCACCGACTTTCACCATCTTTTTGGTCCTTATATCCTTCCTTGATATTGTGTATCATTCCCTCCTCTCCTCTCTCTCTCTCTCTCTCTCTCTCTCTCTCTCTCTCTCTCTCTCTCTGTATACATAATTAGCCCTGGATACATAGAACAGAAAACAAGGAAGGACTAAAAATAAGCAAAACATGCATCAAAAAGCCCAGACAGTGACATAATAGACATAATAGAACACTTGTCTATTCAGAAAGTCAAAAACCTATCAAGGTCTGAGACCCTTGACAATTATTTCTGTTAAAGGATCATTGACTGAGTATTACTCTCTTCTACATGGTCCCTCTTCTGCCCCCTTTCTGACTGTACTTCTGCATTTGGTCCCTCTTCCTTAGGGGCTTGAACAATATCGCCTGCACACATGCCCTTTGCTTCTTGCGCCCTATGTGTCAGCTGCACTTGATTATTCACTGATCCAGTTCTTCTGTTTTTCATAGAACCCGTTGGACTCCAGGAGGCCCAGGATTTCATAGGGCGAATCCAATTCTATCAGTACCTGGGGAAACACAAGAACCTGGTACAACTGGAAGGATGCTGCACAGAAAGGCTGCCACTTTACATGGTGCTGGAAGATGTGGTCCCAGGGGACCTGCTCAGCTTTCTCTGGACCTGCCGTAAGGTGAGCAGTAGGGAAGCTGCACTAGTAGATTAAAGCTTTGATTAGTTTTTTTCATGCATCAATTAACACCACGAATGACAAAATATGCAAACAATATAAGAGTGAAGCAATTTCCATGTTTGAAAGGAACTATGATTATGTAAGTGTAAAACATTTTTAGCTAAGGACTATGGATATGGCTCAGTTGGCACAATGTTTGTCTAGCAAAAAGCCCAGGATTTGAAGACGGATGCTAAAACAGAAATCCCACACTAGTTCAGAATTGAGTATAATAAAAGGTTATTTGTTTAGGGATAGACTAACAGATCACAGTCCTCTGCCCGAATGGGGAACAGCAACCAAATCCCACAGCCAGAAAAGAGGCTGGATGCGTCCTTTACAATGGCATATATAGTTTAGGAGGCCATGCCCAAGTGGGTGGGTAACTTAAAGGCTACTGGCTGTAGGAATTCCTACAAGGGTTTGATCACCAACACAGTGTCCAACTGTATATGGTAGCATATACCTATAATCCCATCTCTGGAAAAGGTCTTGGGTTGGGTTCAAAGTCATTCTCAACTATACATCCATTTGAAGCCATTCCCAGCCACATGAGACCCAGACTAAAAAAATAAAAATCCCATATCTGTTATGTGCACAGTTAACCACAAATGACATTAAACACTTGACATGTAGCAGGGGAAGCAGAAAATGAACTTTTTATTTTGGACAATTTTATGCACTGTGAATTGAAATAGACACTTGTGGCTGATTACTATCTTCTTGGGCAAACTATGTTTAAAGACTTGTCTCCACTGCCTAACTTTGACTTTGGCAAAGTGTTTTTTTTTTTTTTTTTTTGCCATTATTTGAGACAGGGTTTCTCTGTGTAGCCTTGGCTGTCCTGAAACTTGCTATGTTGACTAGACTGGTATTGAATTCACAGAAATGTGCCTGTCTTTGCCTTTTAAGTGTTGGGGCTAAAAACATGTGCCATCATGTCTATCCTGGAATATTAATTATGATCTGAGTTTTATAAATAAATTATCATAAAATGTTAGACATTATGTATATAAAACATAATAGCAATTGTTACTAAATAAGCAATCAAATTGGTAGCTGCTAAAAATGATAATGACAGAATGATGTACCACTGTCAGTAATAATAGTTACTCTGTTGTTCCTGCTAAGTGTACTTTTCATTCAATGAAAGCACCCTAGGACACTAGAGCAGACAAGGGAGAAGTTCAGCTATAAGTGTTTGTGTGTCAAATCTTTAAAGAAAAATAGCTCAGAAGTTTCTAGATTCCAATGAAAGAACATAACAATTGATTATTCAATACCAAATGGTCAGCCCTGAAAACATACACATTCAAGTTACATACAGACTGTGAAGGCTGTATTTATATATTTATGAATATACATACATATGTACATATATTCACAATTGTAACAACAATTAAAGAAAAAGAGGCTATGAATTGAAGAAACCCTGGCTTCTCACTTGCTTATGAGCCAGTTCAAGACTAACTTAGCCCTCAGAGACTGATCATAACACGACTGGAAATGTGAGGGAAAGGCACCTGTTGAATGAAGTCTTTCATCCTATGGTGTGACTACGAGAACATAGACCCTGTCAATTTAAACCCTTCAAAATATTATCCTTCTGCCACTTCTTTGCTCTCTCCACCAAGCAACTTCCCACTCTTCAGAGCTGCCATCTTCTCTATTTCGGATCATTTGCATCTGCTTTTCTTACTACACGGAGCACCTCTTCATGCAGTTTATATACACAAATCCTTCATCTTCACATCTTCCTCTATCCTTGAGGTGGCTCTCGTCTTCCTCCTACCAACCCATGGCCTAGCAGATGCAGCCATTTATTTATTTAGAGTTCCCTGATTTTAGTTCTCAGGTCTGGCATTCAGAAAGTCTTGAAGGCAGCAGCTATCAGGCTCAGATGAGAAACTGCACATGGTGAATTTTCTCAACTTTTTGTTTGCAATTTGAGCTTTTTCTTTTTGAAAAACTATGTTTTCTTCACTTTTGAACACCAAGTTTTAACAGGGGAACCGGCATATGTAGGCCTTCCGCATAGCTGTGTTAATCATTCAGTGAAGAGTGTAATCCCTGTTTTTTTGCCTGTTGTTCATCTGCTTTTCTTTTCTTTTTTGCATTTCTGTTGTTTAGGGGACCCTGTTATTCTACATGTGTGAACATACCTAATGTTTGTCTCTTGATTTTACATATGTGTGTGTATGTGTGTGTGTGTGTGTGTGTGTGTGTGTGAGTGTGTGTATTAGAGAGATGGCTCAGCAACTAAGAGTACCTCCTGCTCTTGCAAAGAATCAGTGTTCATTCAGTTCCCAACATTTATATGGAGGGTCACAGTTATGTTTAACTCTAGTTCTTGGGGGTCAGATGTTATTTTCTTGTCTCCAAGGACACCAGAAATGCATGTGGTACATATACATACATGCAAGCAAACATTCACACATATAGAAAAAACATAAATACACCTTAGTTTTTTTTACATTTCTTTCTTCTCCCTGTGGGGGTGGGATCACATAGAAGTAGAAGGACAATTTGTGGGAGTCAATTCTGTGCCTCCACCACGTGTAGCCTGGGATAGAACTCAGGACATCAGGCTTGGTGACATGCACACCCTCAGGTCATCTCTCCAGCCCTGTCTCTTTGATTCTTAATCCCTGTCCAAAGCTTTCATATCTGCATTTCAGAGTTTCTTTACTATAATTTAAAAAAGAAAATATACTTAAGTCACTTTTATATAATGTTTTCCTTTCCTCTATCTCTTTAGGATGTGATGACCATGGATGGCCTGCTCTATGACCTCACAGAAAAACAAATATATCACATCGGAAAGCAGGTTCTTCTGGCCCTGGTAAGATCAGCTTAAACGGACTATGATGGTTTCTTATCAGTTTCTTAGAAGCCTAGTATTTATGCTGTATTTTCCCACATAATTATAAATATGGGGTATATATTTTTAAGATAGTTAGATAAAGCTAGGTGAAGTCTATTCACTGACAGTTTTTTTAGTTTTTTATTGATAAAATTATTTAGGAAATACAGCTCAGTATAAGTCATTCAAGGCAGAAAACAGCCAATTTAGGACTGATACAGTGAACAAGAAGGATGTGAAAGTTTACTTAGCTTAAATTTCAAAAACTGGGCTCAAGATTAATTTGATATCTGAACCCATATACATGTCAAAGAGGAAACAACATGGAAGAGATATAGGGGAGAAAGCAAGTAGGTGAAAGGATAAAGAAAGATACAAATTTATACCCCCCAAAATAAAGCAGACTAGCTCAGACTGTGTTTGGTTGGAGATTTGCTTTGATGATATATGTCACACACAGCTTGAGTGGCTTCAGGCAAAAGGAGCAGATCCAGCACATATCACCAGCCACACTGATTTTCACCTGCTTTTCTAACCACACCAGAATCCTTTGTTCCCTTATACTACAAGTCACTCCTTTCTCTTTCTAGATGGAGACTTAGTAAGTCTGTGTTAAAAGTCTTCAAGTTTGTTTTTACAAGTTCTCAGAGAATTTTGATCTGGAGCTTGACTTAAGAACTATTAATGGATTGATAGGAGTTAAGAGACTGGCTTTCAGTCAACAATCACCTGATGAGTGTGTGGCTTTCTGTGTTCCTTTGGGTTTTCCAACATCATCTAGTTGGAAAGACAGAATGAGATAATTTAATCCTCGTATATATCTGAAGGGAAAGTACAATCAAGAGGGGCTAGGGTTGACACAGAGCATGCGATTATGCTTTCAGAGTCCAGTGTTAGGAGTAGGTATGTAGCACAGTTGCAGAGTGCTCACATAGAACACGTGGTGCAGCAGGACCCAAACTGAGTACTAAAGTTAAATTCCTGTGTTAGTGCCATTTGGATCATTCACTGAGCTTGTAATCCATAATTATAAAGTGAAAAAATCCAATCCCTTATCCTGCTTTAGAAATGATCTCATTGATTAATGTGAGTGTTTGGAGCAAAGAAGTTTCTTATCTTTTGAAGGCCACCCAAGACTGTCTTATTTATGAACTATGACCTTCAGAATGCTGATTGCCTTTGATTATATGCTGATAGGAATTCCTGCAGGATAAGAATCTGTTTCATGGGGATGTTGCTGCCAGGAACATCCTGATCCAAAGTGACCTGACTGCCAAACTCTGCCATTTGGGCCTGGCTTATGAAGTCCACACCCAAGGGGCCATTTCCTCTGCGCGCACCAGCACCATCCCTCTCAAGTGGCTCGCTCCAGAACGTCTTCTCCTGAAACCTGCAAGCATCAGAGGAGATGTGTATGTTCTTGCTTTCTTTCTTCTCTTTGAGGTCTGGTGCTTCCCCCAGAATGTGATTGCACATGTAGTCACTTATGTCTGCAAATCAGATCTCTACTTGAAATCAAACACTGTCAAGCAAAAATGTTTGCCATCTGCTTTCAATCTATTTAAAAATGCTTTTCCTAGTAGTTCTTGTGAATTACATACATATTTTAATAGGAAAGAAAAGTGAAAATATTACTCAAATAAATTTTGGAGCACTTACCTTAGCAGCTTTACTTTAACCTTTAGGGCATGGTTACACTTATGAGTCAGGAAATGAAGAATTTGAGGTAAAATAATTATACACATTTCAAGTCACCTCTTTTAAAAATATTAAGTTATTTATGTGCATGTGTCTGCATGAGTTTATGTGCACCATGTATGTATTAGAGTTCTTAATAGCCAGAAGAAAGTGTCAGATACACATAACTGGAGTTATAGGGGGCTGTGAGCCAACACATGTGTGCTAGGAACTGACCCCGGGTCCTCTGCAGAAGCAATAAGTGCTCTTAGTCACTGAGCTATGTCTTCACTCCCAAATCACTTATTAAGTGAAAAACATGCATGCGTATTTATCAGAATTTTTATGGAGAAAAATATACATTTTGTGATGGGTCTTGAACATGCAAAAGCAGCACCTAAGCCACAATTCTTTTGTATTCACTTCTGAAATGCAGGGTCACACATGCACGCCACAATGCAAAGATAAAAGCTTTATTTTTTGTCTGAATAGTTGCAATCATGACTAATGGCTGGATGCCACTTTGAGATGGTTCTTAGTACATATAATAAGAGACCTGAAAATATTTGTAAAACAATCTGAGACTTTTATTTCCTCTTCTCATTTAATTAATTAATTAATTGAGACAGTGTTTCTTTGTGTAGGCTTGGTTGTCTTAAATATAACTCTGTAGACTGGGCTGGTCTTGAACTTACAGAGCTTAACCTGCTTCTGCCTCCCAAGTGCTGGAATTAAAGGCATGCACCACTACTGTCCAGGTTCCCCATCTCATTTTTTAATTGACTCTTCAGTACAATTTTGTAATATGTTATTCACTTAATTTTTTTTTTATTTGGGGTGGGGCTGGAGTTGAGACAGGGCCTTTCTATATATCTCTGGATACTCTGGAACGTGTTATGTAGAAACTACAGAGTTTGAGCTCACAGAAATCTGACTGCCTCTGAATCCCATGTGCTGCAGTCAAAGGCATGCATCACCACACCTGCCTCATTTTTGTTCTGTTTTGTTTTAAATAAGTCTCCCTGTGTAGCCAGACTGTCCTTAAACTAGTGACCCTCCTTCATTAGCCTCTCAAGTGTTGGGATTACAAATGTGGAATACTATTCCAGCTCATTTTCTTTTTAGCAGCATACTCATATGGACTCGTTTTAAAACAGTCAACTTATTTTTAAAGATATATCTTATGCAAATATTTAAGTAGCATCTATAGCACTTAGATGATTGCTTAACTATAATTACATACACAACTGGTATAATCAGGATTGTAAAGAATTGAAATTGATCTTTGGAAATAATGTACCTCAGCTAGGCATAAAAGTTCAATGCAGAATGCCTTCCTTAGTGTCCATATCACAAGAGGCAGTGGGAATTGAAACATGGGCTTGATGAGTCCATTAGGATGCTTACTCTGACGTATCCCTTATACCTGCTTTTCAACAGACTGTGGGCAATTGTACTTATAAAATGTCACTCATCTAATGATGGTAGTAATAGTGAAGTATGTGCCTCTAAAGTCATACTGTTTAGCCAAATTCCCTTTCCAAATGTCTAAAGTTTACTAGTACTTTCTCTATGTTTGAATAAATAGATCTACTGAGAAAGCAGTGGTTAAATGAAGAGTCCCTGTGTGCTTTGTGTTTAATTAAGGCTAGAATTTGAGCACAGAGGGAAGGAAAGATGAAAAAGATAAAAAGGGACATTCTGTTTCAGTGAGTGGATCTATGATTGCACACTTGTATGCTAATAACAACAGCAAACACATATTATGAAGAAGGGATATAGACTCAGCCCTTAAAAATAGAGATTCTGAGAGACATGGGCAGGAATGTTTATTAATAAACTCTGTGACTTATCCTCTTTCTAAAACACTTCATCTCTCTTTGACTCCTTCATTTCCTTGCTGATGTTAAAGTAAGCTTTCTTTAGTAAAGATAAATGTAGAAATTAAATGGATGACTTTGCTTCTTTTACAGCTGGTCTTTTGGGATCCTGCTTTATGAGATGGTGACTCTAGGTAAGGACAACCTCCAGGGGAACAGGCAAGCTTGCTCATTTGGAGGGTGAATATTAGAGCCTTTGAGGAAGTGTTTTCAGGCCAGGCCAGATTGCACTGGACTGATATGGACTCTGAGCCTCTTTCCAATAAATTCTATGTAAATATCAACTCATTTTGTTCTCTCTCTCTCTCTCTCTCTCTCTCTCTCTCTCTCTCTCTCTCTCTCTCTCTCTCTCCTCTCTCTGTCCCTGTGTGCGTGTGTATGTGTGTGTGTGGTGTGTGTCTCTCTCTTGACCTTCCTTAATTTTCTTTAGCTTTCCCTTTTACCTTTCTCCCAAATCATACCAGCTCCATAGAATGTGTTCAAAACCAACGTATAATTCCCACAGCAACCTTCTATAAATGTGAGAACGTTTTCTTCAAGTTTATTTGTCCATTCAATTTAGAAACTGTAGCTCCTTCTGTGTTATAAAGAGTGGAAGGCAGGTCTTATTTCCTGTTTTGCCATGTTTTATTACTTTCCTTAATTAAAACTAGGGAACTTCTAATATTACCTTTCTTCTCCAGAACATCTTTTCTGAAATTTACTGTATCCTTGTATAATCTGCAGGAAGCAACTATACTGTACACAGTATTTTCCCATGGTTATGGTTTAAAGGCCGCTGTCTCAGATCAATGGATACTGGAGTTATTTTTACTTCATATTTAGAAGGTTTCTTGCTGCTCTCATGTTTTTTTTTTTTTTTTTTTTTTTTTTTTTTTTTTTTATTGACAGGGGCACCACCATACCCCAAAGTCCCTCCCACCAACATTCTACAGTATCTCCAGAGAGGGAAAATCATGAAGAGACCCAGCAGCTGCACACATGCCATGTAAGTGGTTCTTCTAGGCTTGAGCTTCTGTCATTTGAAATAATGGTTCGATCCCTAATCACTACACCTTTTTTCTGTGTGCCTTGGATGATCATTGTCCTTCTATGCTAATGCACAGTCTTAAATAAAGCAGTTCTGCTCAAGAACTGTATCAGCCACTTTTCTAATCGTGACAAAGTACTCAAGAGAAGATGCTTCAGGAAGAAAGCTTGACCTTGTCTCAATTCCATTACAGTGGGGAAGGTAGGGCAGAGATGCTCAGTCTGTGGTTGTGGGAGCACATAGACAGCTTGGTCACATGCTTGTGGACCAGCAGACAGTGAACAAAGGCTGGAATCAGGAGGCTGTAACTTCCAAATACTTCCCCTAGTGTCACAAACTGGGGAATCACACTTAAAACAGGCCTGAAGGGGACAGTTCAGGCTCAAGCTATAAATATGTCATATATGTATACTTATCACATATGCATTTATGACATATACATATGTATACATTTTATATACATTACACACATTTTTACAATTTTGAGGCAATTGCTGAGGACTCTAATTTTTGCTTTCACAAGAGGCCTTCAGACAAAGTGCCTGGCCTTAAAAGAAACTATCACGCTGATAAGAAGGTAAATGAAATGATTAAAAGCTCCACCCATCACACCATAGAGGGGGACTAACAATTTACTCATAGCCCTGTTATCCTTGCACGGCACGGTGGAGAAGGCAGAGCTCTTCTGTCACTTTTTAGTCTGCAAAGTCTCTCGCATTCTATTATATAAAAAGAAAAACCATGCTGAGAGACTTGATATAAAGAGAATGGTAGAGTATCAGTCTCTGGAAATACAATGGGGGACGGGGCAGAAAGATCAAAGGGCTTTTATTTGGTTGTTGAAGAGGAACTATGTTCCTTTCACAGTTGTCTCTGTTGTTCCCATCTCAGGTACAGCATCATGAAATGCTGTTGGCACTGGAGTGAGGACAGCCGTCCATTACCTGCAGAGCTGTGCTTGCGCCTAGAAGCTGCCTCTAGATCTGCAAATGACAAGGCTGTGTTGCAAGTGCCGGAGTTAGTGGTGCCTGAACTGTACGCAGATGTGGCTGGCATCCATAGAGAGAACCTTTCCTACAGCTATAGTGTCCTTTGAAGATACCCCCAGACAAGACACTATATGTACTTGGAATAAGTTCCTTCAAGAAGAGAGAGAAGGTACTTCCTATGGGCCCCAAAGGGAGAAAAAGGACATGGACATCTTTCCCTATATATTTTCCTAGAAATATGAAATGCTGCTGGACGAGGCTCTACCTCTACACACCATGTACTCTTGAGCTAAGACTCACTATCTGTGTGCTTCCCAGTCCCGAGCGCCTGGGACAAATGGTAGACAGTGTCATTCCAAAGAAAGTTTTAAAAATCTGCAATGACTGTTGGGGAGTAGGGCAAAAGGGCTGGCTCCACCCACCCCAGGCTGGTTTACTACTAAAAAGTTCTTTTATTAAATCTAAACTATTACAGAGTATGAATAAATCAGATGGCATGAATGAACAGGAACCCAACATAGGAATTCATGAGAAAGAAAATTCAAGTTTTTTTTTTTTTCTGAGAAGTGTAAGGTAAATCCTGATCTCCTTTGAGAAGAGATCTTGTCTCTTCTACATAGAGGGGACATAAAAGTTATTCAGTCTTGTTCCCTTCATGAAGCATTGGAGAACTGTAACAAATAATACTGAGTTTTTTCTTGACTATAGATAAAACTTTTATTGAATTCTGAGACAGGTTGATCCTGTTTGATATTACATTTAATTAGAAGCAGGAGTCATTTCATGATTAAGAACATTGTATTTGCTTGCTACTCCTGTTAGACTACGGAGAATAATTCTAAAGAACCAAAGTTAGAACTAGTGATGAAATGTGTGGGTGAGTGGGGGATGTGCATGTGTGCATGTGTATGTGTGTGCTCGTGTGCATGTGTGTTTGTGTGTGTGTGTGATTAGTAAGAAACATGGAAACCAAGCAAAAAGACTCAGCAACCCAGGTGGATTAGGAGATCCAAAGAAGAAGCAACCTGATAGGGATGGGTAGTAGTTTTGAATTTTCAATCATTCATTGAAACACTGTGAAACAACTCATTAAATTAGTATTTCTTGATTAGAAGTAGACTTTTCTAGTGTATAGCTGCAAAATCTTTACAATAGGAAGTATAAAAGACAATCGGTGGAATTAATTTTAATAGAAAAATAAAAACCTATATTATCCAAAAAGAGATTCTTTATGTGTAAAATGAGAAGACTATCTACCTCACAGGATGGTGTGAGGGTCAAGGAGACTATGTATTTGTATAATATGTGGCATATAATATGTATTCAATAAATATTAGTCCCCTCCCACAACTTAGAACATTTTTTCCATTATTTTTAATAATATAACACCCACTGCGGCCTTGAAGAGAGCCCTGGCCTGTGATGACACAGGGCAGCAAATGTCTAAAAGATGGTGGTATTGTACGAGCAGGACATCCATTAACTGTCATCATGTATTGTTTGTTTTCTAACATTGAGAACTGAACCCAGGAACTTACAGACACAGGGAAGTGACCTACACTGGTCTTGAGCCATCATGTTTGTGTGAGGTTTTGGCCGATGACAGTAGTCTCCTATGATTGCAAAACACTGTAAGAATTACAGTGAGGACAAATTCTGTTTACACACTGACCTGTGACTTTGCAAGAACACCCTGCTACCTTTAGAAGGATGAGGAGAGCTATCATAGAAAAGATGGCTGGCAGCTGAAAACTGCTACCACTCAATCAACTGAGATCTTGATGTAGTCATAGTGACTCAGCTAAATACCACAGTAAGTAGTCAGGATTTAAGTGTGCTGAAGAGAGAAAATGGATGAAATCCAATTGTTGCCTCCCAGATGTTAATTTGAGCCATTTTATAAAGTATTTCCTTATTTAAATATTTAAAAATGTTTAGTGTCAGGGCTTTCTGTGCCAGACAGTGGGAAGTGAGTTGGATAAAGAAACTGGAAGGTCTGAATTAAATCAGACCGGATGTATTTATGTGTGGCCACCTGCTAATTAAAAACTTATGTTAAATGTTATAAGTGAAACCCATGGGATAGTAGAAAGCAGTGATGAGTGAAGACGTCTCAGGATACATGGTATTTAGATGGATACCTTAGGGAAGGGTCAGGTCATAGAAAGAGTGAGAAGTAACTAGGAGTGGGATTTGAATGACAACTTTGAGGTAAGAAAAACCAGTGTGGTGCTGTGGAGATGGTTCAGTGGATAAAGTGCTTGCCATGAAAGTTTGAAGAATGTAATTTGGATCCCCAGAATCCATGTAAAAAGTTGATGTGGGAGCACATATCTGTAATCCAATCATGCCACGGACAAGATGGAAATGAAGACAGGACTCCCTACAACCTTGCAGGCCAGCTATGTGGTATACTCTTTGTCAACCACAAAAGAGCCAGAGGTCAACCTAAGCAAGATGGAAGGCAGAGATGAACACCTAAAGATGTCTTGTGACGTCCAAATGTTTTGTGGCACACACTTGACAAATTTGCCATGCAATGACTACATATATAAACATGTACCTATGGAAAACAAAACCATAATCATAACCAGATAAAGCAATACACAGGTGAAAAACTGAAAAGATGTCTACAGGGTTGTAGCATATGTGTTTAAGGGGGAGGAGACACATAATGAAATGGAGCGTGGCTTACTGTTTCTTTTCTTGAGTTTGTGCCTATGGATATAGGTGACCAGGAAGGCCAGAAGGCTGTGTTGGATTCCCTGAGCTGGAGTTGCTGGTGGTTGTGAGTTGTCTGTCATATATGCTGGGAACCAAACTCAGGTTCTTTGTATGTAACCTTTGCCACTAACCTATCTCTCTCCAGTTCCACTTCACCATATTAAATGAAGAAAAAAAATAGAGTAGTAAAATTATTAGTGTAAATTAATAAAATTTTCTCATTTTTACTATAACAATTTATGAAATCATCTTATACTCAGTGAAATAAGTCAAACACATAGACACAAAAACAGAAGGTCAGAGGGTAGCCTATTATCTTTAGTAGAATATTCTTGTTTGAAAGTAAATTAAAAGTTATGGTGTATGCTTAAATTATATAATATTGTTATGTAGCATCTTTCTCTGTCCTGCCAGCTCCCAAATAATGGCACAAAGACTTATTATTCATTATACAGCTTGGCGTAAGCTCAAGCTTGTTTTTAACTAGCTTATAAGAGCTTTAAAAACCTATTTTTATTAATCTATGTTCTGTCACGTACCAATCATCCTGTATCTTCCGTGTCTTCTTGCATCTCCTTTGCATGCTTAAATTCATTCCCACTTCATCCCTTTGCCTGTAAATTTCACCTATTCTCCCTGCCTGTCGATCAGCTGTTTATCTTTATATTAAAACAATCACAAGGACATATCTTCATACGGTATAAACATTCAGCAAGAATTTGCCTCCCAGCTGTTCCAAACCTAATAATTCAATTCAGTCTATCATGTCATGGTGATCAATTATCTTACCTGATAACCAATGGTATAAGAGTGGTTGGATTTTCAGAATGATGGGGATTGATTTGAGAAGCATTGCTATCAAGTGGCAAAAGTCATGGCTAAACTCCACAGGGAAACCCAAGATGGAATAAAAGACAAAGGTGAGCAGGTGGATATGGACACACTTTGGCTTTTCCTTCTTAAAACGTACCAAATTTAGTGTGTGGCATTAGACTTCATACGACTTGCTGTACAGATTCATTGTACTGAAGGAGACAGCTCTGACATTCGATTCTATAAATAATGAAAATTACTGATCCGAAATGAAAATATAAGCTTATCGCTTATAGTGTTAACCATGATGCAGTTCGAGAGTGTTTCCTAAAATTGTAGAGGGAATGATTTGGTCACTTTCAATAGAAAAGATATAGATGGGCAGAAGAGACATTAAAAAAAAAAAAACTCGAAGAGAATTCTATACATAGAAAAAAAAATCCCAGCAGAGAATTTAAGATTAACAATTCTAAGAAAGAATCAGACCTATAAATGGCAGGTGTGTGGTGCACATGCGAAATACCAACACTTGGTTAGGAGGTTATGGCCAGAATAGGTGACATAGGTGAGTTTAAGGACTCAATAAAAATCAAAAGAGAACACAACCAGAAATGAAAGAACCACATGGCTGAAAAAACACTTGAGTGGAAAATAATTATGAATAGATATACAGTAAGCCACCAAGCCTCACTTTCCATTGCAGGTGGGAATGTTCGCTTCCTACTTCAACATGATTTCACAAGGTGTTGTGAAGCTGACCACAGTGTTGGGAAAGGCAGAAACAGTCCTTTCATTTCACCTAAGTGATGAAAACATTCATTTTCACAAGGCAGCTGTGACAATGTAATTACACCCCAATATGGAACCTACAGTAACTGAGAAAGAAAAATGTTCACAGTGCATTTTCACCACTTCCCGTCTGATTAGGGATATCTGAAACTCTTTATTGTTTGTTTATTTTTGTTTTCTGAGACAGGATTTCCCTGTCATGGAACTAGCTCTGTAGAACAGGTTGGTCCCAGATTCACAGAGATCCACCTGCCTCTGTCTCCCTAGCGCTAGGATTAAAGGCATGCACCACCACAGCCTGGCCTGAAACTCTTACATTACTATAACATGAGAAACACTAGCCATGTGAGATATTTAAATGTCAATGTAAGTTAATTAAAATTAAGAGTTCGATTTCACCAGTCTCACTAGCTACGCTTAAGAGCTCGGTAAACTCAACGCTTTCCCACATCCCTGGTGTTTTCCACGTGGGAGTACAAAACACTCCTCTGCTACTTTTTAATACTGAACACAGTGTAAAGTGTCTTACTGTGGTATTTTCTTGACTTATAATGTGAAGAGTTTGGTAAATACAATTTTTTATTTTATCTTAAAAACACGTAGGGATCTATAAAACCTAAGGTCACTGAAGAAGGCCTTCTATAGAATTCCGTGAAAACGATTATAACTGACATCTTCATAGATACTATAAAACACTGCGCTTAAGTTTCTGTGAATTATTTTTGTAATAATTTGGGCCCTTCTAGGTTTTAAAACTTAAAGTTTCACATCCTAGAAAACTCCTCAAACCTGGGCAAACTGGACTGGTAAGCAATCCTAGTGGTAAGGTGTGGTGATGCATATTTCTAATGTGTTTTCCTAAACAGCAGCCTACCACCCTACTGCGAGAGGGAGTAAATTCTGTGACAACTACATAACTAAGATGGCCACAGAGGCAAGGTTTCTTTGTGTAGTCCTGGCTGTCCAGGAACTCATTTTGTAGACAGACCAGACTGGCCTCGAACTCACAAAGATCCAGCTGCCTCTGCCTCCTAAGTGATGGGACTAAAGGTGTGCACCACCACCGCCCAAAACAAAAAAAAGAATGACCAAAGAGAACTCGTACCAACTTGCCTTGAAAAAAATCACTCCACGTTCTTGAACCCTACATTCTAGTTACTTATTGATTTCAAGTGTAGAAATTGTGTTTTTTGGCTTTCTCCAAATACACACGTTCACACCGCCTTGCCTTACTTTGGGTCATCCATTGCCTGAAATGCTGTTCTGTACTGTAGGACATTCATGGAATTTGCTTATCAAAATACCAATTCAAATAACACACCCTTTATAAGTCCTCTTTAATACTCCTCCTTTTTATAAATTTCTAATTCCACCTACAGTAAAAGCACTTGTGGCTTTTTTTTTTGTACATGGATGCTTTTCTGTGTATATACTATATGTAATACTAACTGCTTCCCTGTACTGATGTTTGGTTTACATGTTTGCATTCTCTTTTTTTCTGAAGATACAGACTGCTCTATTGTTTTATGACTAATGCCCATCTCTTCTGGCACACAGAAGATACTTGTTAAAACTCAGGCAGTACAGGCTTCCAAGCACATCATGTACATGTCATTTAACTTTCTCAGGTCTGTGTTTGGCAAAGTTGATTACTGTGTTTCTAGTTAGTTAATGATCACACAGGTGGAGAGATAATTAAGTGGTGATGGTCTGGAGATTGTACTTTCTTAGGATTACCACAGAAGGCCATCAGTCGTCCGACAGGATTACTCAGTGTTGGCAACAGAGAGGTGACCAGGATTTGAAAAGTGGACTATGTGTAAGTTCACTGTCCTTTTGTGCTCTTCAATACCATCCCACACCAGAGTGCTCCTTCTGATGTAAACTGTTGGAAATTGTGGTTTAGCACCCCAGGCACCCAGGCTACTATTAATCCTTATGGAACGAAGCGACTCACAAGTTCTGCTACGAAAAACTGTTCCGTAGTTGCTGTTTGGGCTTTTCAGTTTCATGTGCTATTTGAACATCAAACTTCCCATCAGAGCGATCCATTCTATCTTGCTTTCTTTTTTTTTTAAAATTACTTTCAATATTATTATTATTTTTTCTTTGTTTGCTTTCTTAGTCTTAGTCTAGGCTGTTGGCTACTAGATAACTGTTAAGCCTTGTCCAAAGGCTTCTGTTAGGATGCAGGAGGATTATATTCTGGTTGCCACTGAAATGTATTTTTACTCACTTCACCAGGTACAGGAAGTAGAGCCACACCCCACTTTACAATGTGCTTTGAGATCAGAGATACCCACAGAAAGTACAGCTTGTAAACCTCAGTTCAAGACCCAGGAAAAAGCCACACCCACACCACAGGGCAACCAGAAAGTAAAAGTGGTTTATGAATGTTCCTTCCAAACCCGACACACACACACACACACACACACACACACGGGGGGGGGGGGGAGGGGGGGAGAGAGAGAGAGGGAGAGAGAGAGAGAGAGAGAGAGAGAGAGAGAGAGAGAGCGCTATTGTTCATTACCAAGATAAAATTAATTTTCAGGAAAAGGGGTGAATCTAAAAATTATTATAGTAAGTGAGGGGTAACCATGAAGTACTAAGACAAATAACTCATTCACTCATGTATGTGGATCCTAGCTTGCGTATGTGTGTAGTCAAATGTTAGTGAGTATAGGTTATTAAACCAGAAAGGGGGGTTGGTTAAAGAAATGGAGGACTGAGGATAACGGAAAACATTTAACATCAAAGCGGACAGAATACTGTCGGCAGAAGGACTGGAGCCAGTAGATAGGGGAGAGGTAGAGTAGGAGGCTAAATCAAAACAATAAAAATTCCATAATGACATCCGGGGCTTTATCCGCCACCGTGCTCACGCAGGCAAACCTTATTAAACTCGGCGAGTCCTTCCTCAACCCAGACACGCGTAAGACACAAAGAACAGGAGGACGTGACGGGAAGAGCGAGCGGTTCAGCACAAGAGATGAGAGAGGGTAAGGAGGTGGAAAATCCACCTTACACGTGTAAGAAATCGTCAAAGAATTGAAAGTAAAAAGCAAAGCATATAAAAATCCTTGACAAAAACAAAACAAACATTGTGCTTGGGATCTTAGGAAGCCGCTCCGGTGCGAACCTCTAGTCCTCAAAGTCTCCTGCCGACCTGCAGCTTCCCGGTCGACTTCCTCCACCGCGAAAGCGCCCCCGCCTGACGCTCTTTGTCCGCGCCGCTGACGTCACTGCCCCGCGCCGGCGGCTCTTTCCCGGCCGTGCAGTGAGCTTTACCGAGGGCGACGATGTCTATGGGTAGTGATTTCTACCTGCGCTACTACGTTGGGCACAAGGGCAAGTTTGGGCACGAGTTTCTGGAGTTCGAGTTTCGGCCGGATGGTGAGCGGGGGCGGGGCCGCGAGGGAGGGCCAGCCGCCCAGGGGATGGATTTCTAATTTATTTTCCTTTCTCTTTTCTTGTTTATTTCAATTTGCTTGTTTAGTTTTGAGTCGGGGTCTTGTTGTTTAGTCCACGCTGACCTCGAACTCACGATCCTCTTGCTTCAGCTTCCTGGATTCTGGGGTGACAAGGGGTGTCACCACGCCCCAGCATCCCAGGAGGGCTTGAAGGGATTCCTTCCAACCTAGGAAGAGCTTGCGTGCTTTTGTGAGAGAAAGATTGCTGTAAAGTTACCCCAAAAGGTGTATCCTGCTACCATCAGAAAAGTTGGAGGTAAAGGAATCGGAAACCTGGAATCTGTGCCTCGGCAGAGGACTGTGATGGGTGTTAGGTATTGAAATGTAATTCTTCACCGTCAATGTCAATATACGTGGATGGCTGATGGCCAAAGGTCAGGCAGTCAGCGAAAGCTGGAATCCCTTTTCATATTACCTCCTAGGTGGTCAGCCCTGTTAAGAAGAAGCTGAATATCTCCTTACCAGCCACTGGCTGTCAGAACACATTGAAGTGGGTAATGAACACAAGCGCTGGACTTTCTAAGAGAAGCAAAGGCCACAGAAGGAGCTGCTGGTGCTCTGGGTGAAGAGTGGAGGGGTTGTATGGTCCCAATCATTGATGGGGACAACAGATAAGGTTTTTGTTAAGTTGGGAGCATAGGCCCCAGCCCCACATCTATCCCAGCCCCCAGGCCTGAGAGTTACTTAGGTCTGGACTCCAAATCCCAGCAGGCTACTCCCACAGAGTATTTAAATGAACTCCCAAAAGAGGTACACGTGGTCTCTTCCTTCCTCCTGGTGGGGTGGTCGCCTTGCAGGCCCCTTGGGGCCACCCGAGAGTTCAGAACTCACATTAAACCTGGATATTGCTTAATTTGGCTTGTTTTGATTTGGCTTGATTGGGATTATGCGTGGGCAGAGAGCTCGCTTTAGGAAAATATTCCTAATAGTTTTCCCATGCAACAAGACTGTTTTTTTTTTTTTTTTTTTTGGTGGGTGGTCCTTGGACTTCCCACAGGGCAGGGAACCCTGATTGCAACAAGGCTTCTTGACCCACTTCAGAGTACACCTGCTGTTGAATAAGGAGTGTACTTGCTATAGACCAAGGAGAACTGGAAAGAGGAAGCATATGTCTGTTCTAGATACATTGTGGATGCCAATCTGAGTGTCTGCAAATTGGTTATTGTTTTTTAAAAACAAGAATAGTCCTGGACTAACAGCCTGCAGAATCCTAAAGCTTTTCAAACTCTCTAAAGAAGATTTCTATTAGTATGTTGTCAGAAAGCTCTTAAACAGAGAAGTCCCAGACCAAAGCACCTATGATTCCCAACTTTGACTTATTACTCTGGAGAAACAACGCTAAGAAAAATAAGAGGCTGCAGAATATGCTAAACTTTTGTCCTAGACAATGAAGGAAGCCAAAACAAAACAAAATGAAACAAAGACCACCAGGAATAGATTTCCAAGAGATGTAGACTGCTGTTGCTGAGGGCTTCTACTCTTAAGTCTGAGTCCAGGAAAGAGTAAGTCTTTAAGAGTAATAAATAAATGATCAGACCTTAAACAAAGAAAAAAAAAACTTCCTCTAAGCCAGGTGTGATGGCGCCTTATGCTTTTAATCCCAGTATTTGAGAGGCAGAAGCAGGTAGAGCTCTATGAGTTCCAGGCCATCCTGATCTACATAGTGAATTCCAGTACAGCCAGGGCTACACAGAGAAACACTGTCTTTAAAAACAAAACAACACACACCCAAAAAACAAAAAGTAAACCAAGCCAAAACAAAACAAAACCACCAAAACCAAAAGTCTTTCTCTAGAAGATGAGACACTTGAGATAAGAAAGAAAAACTTCTTTTCTGGGGAAGAGAAAAACTCCCTCTTGTGTAGTGTAAGGCAATTCTGTCTTTCCTGGCAGAATTGTTTTCCTGCCCCAAGGATTTTTATTTTTGAATGCACATTATGTACTGGGCAATACCTAAGTGCCAAAGCTAAAGGTGGAACTTGAGACACAGACATTTAACTAAGTATATGACTGTATAGACTTTAAGTAAGTGTTGTATACATGTTTTGGACATTAAGTTTCTAGGCAACTTTATTCTTGTTTTCCAAATGTTGTTTGGAGCAAACTTACTTTGTTTCATGTGGTTGTTGCGGTGGTTTTTTGGTTTTGTATTTTTTACTTGATTTGATTTTTTATTTATTTCGTTTGTAATTCTATTCTCGGTTTCCTTGCCCATGAATGTCGTACAGCTTATCCTTCTCACCTTGAGTTACATAAATTAAGAACAACACTATCAGGGAAATTTATGTTTAGATTAATTTTCATGCACCTTTGCCACCGAATCATTCTACTTACAGGAGAAATGATGACCTGCAGAATTTACAGTTTCTGGTGGGTACACCCAGTCTAGTAACCTATGATTTTAGCAGATGAGGACACCATAGCTGTATCTGAGCACATGGCTGACGAGCCGCGCAGGGAAGCACACATTGGGGCTTCAAAGGTCATGACAGATGGATTGAAATAGCCAAAAAATTGAGAGTTTACACACACACTTTGTACACTTCCTAATTAGAATTTTTTAAGAATTTCATTATCTTAAGTATATACACTAATTTGAAGGAAAACCATTAAGAGAACATTTTGGAATAATAGAGAAAAGGTTGATGCAAAGGATACCTCTTGAGACCTGTGTGGCCCTGAGTGAGTTGCTTCTCTTGATTTTTATCCACCTCCTGTGAATAGGTGAGAAAGTGAAACCTGCTGCTAGAATTCCTTAAAGAGATCAGAGGAAATGCTGTGAGGACTGCATTTAGCACCAGCACATGACACTTGAACTTCACATTTAGTTCAGGGGCTAGATTAAGAACATACACCTGTTTGTTGTGTGCAGTGTTAATCCCAGCACTTAGGACACAGGCAGGTTGTGAGATCACTTTGTGTGCAAGGCCACCAACCTGGCGACACAGTGAGATCTTGTGTCAGAGAGAAAGAGAGAGAGAGAGAGAGAGAGAGAGAGAGAGAGAGTGAGAGAGAAGGAGGGAGAGAAATAGGCCTTAACAAACCTGATCCATTGTATGTTGAAGGTATGGAGCATTTTGAAGTTTGCTAGCTCACTTTCATATTTATTGAGTGTTTAGCATTTATCTTACATGAGGACGATACTAATAAAGGTGTGAATATGAAATTGTCTGTACCCTTAAAATTGTTCATGATATTCTTTCTTTCTTTGTACACAGGAAAGCTTAGATATGCCAACAACAGCAACTATAAAAACGATGTGATGATCAGAAAAGAGGTGAGTTCTTCTATCTCTTTTTCGTCCTTCTTTCTTTCTTTTTTTTTTTTTTGAGGCAGGGTCTCACTTTGTAGCCCTGGCTGTCCTTAGCCTCTGGCTAAGTTCTTTTCAAATGTCTAATGTTTTACATTTTGTTCATTTATCTTGTCTGTATTGACAAAGTTATTCAAAGGCTCTGTTTCAATGAAGAAACCAATTTATAGATAGAAAGGTTTCTCTTAATTACATATGATTATAGCATTTTTAAAAAAGGTTTTTAACATCCATATATTTGTGTGTGTACGTGTATGCTCACACATTAGGTACACATGTAACATAGCATGCATGTGTGGAAATCAAAGAAAAACTGGTAGGACTTGGCTTTCTCCTACCATGTGGGTTCTAGGGATTGAACTCAGGTCTTTAGTCTTGGCTGCCTTTATCCACTGAGCCATGGTGGTTCTTATTTTAGCATTTCTTTAAACAAAAGAGTCAGTCTGGATATTTGTAGCCCCATATCATTTAATTCATTTTGTGAAGTGTTATTTTTTAAACAAAAGGTTTAGAAGCATGGGCTGGGCTTAGTGTGCCAGCTCCTGTGTGCTTGTGTTGTGTCCTCACTCTGTAGCTCTTCCGTTGCTCCATTAACTGTAATCAACCGGGGTGTCCCTGCCTGTAGTCAGGCAGACTACAGGTAAGAAGCTAGGGTAAGAAGCAGGGAAGGATGTCTGCTAGAGGGCAACAGACTAGAAAAAATATTGTGAGAAGGATAAATTTTAATTCTGCAGCTTTGGAATCAAATTCAGTTTTTTGTTCCTATTCTGTTTGAATATTTAGGATTTGTAGCTTGCTTTTATTATATCTTGCTGAACTGTGAGGAGACAGATGGGAGTTATAAGATTTTATTGTAATTGGTTTTCAGGCCTATGTTCACAAGAGTGTAATGGAAGAACTGAAGAGAATTATCGACGACAGTGAAATTACAAAAGAGGACGACGCTTTGTGGCCGCCCCCTGACAGGGTTGGCCGGCAGGTCTGTGCCAAACAATTTTTTTTTTAATATTTATTTATTATGTATACAATATTCTGTCTGTGTGTATACCCGCAGGCCAGAAGAGGGCACCAGACCCCATTACAGATGGTTTGTGAGCCACCATGTATTTGCTGGGAATTGAACTCAGGACCTTTGGAAGAGCAGGCAATGCTCTTAACCTCTGAGCCATCTCTCCAGCCCCAAACGATTCTTTTAGTGGATAGAGTCAAAGATTATATGATAATATAATGACGATCTTATCTCATATATTCAGGGTGGTTTCTTATTGAAATTTTGATTATATAACGTCATTTTCTTTTTAATTAATTTTTTTTGTGGTACTAGGAATTGAACTCAATATTCATACTTGCTAAGCAAGCAATTACTCATTCAAGTTACACCTCCCAGCTCTTACGTAGCTTCATTTCCTTTGCTACCTCCAACTCATAGAGGAGTTAGCACATAGCTCTAAGTAGAGGAGTTAGCACATAGCTCTATACCTGACAGTATTCTACATCTTCTCTCTTGTCTGTCCAGCCCAAGTTAGGGTATTTGGCACCGTTTTAAATTATTTATTGTAGATTAGCTATTATCATTAATTATTTCTAATTTTATAATTTCAGCGTTGTAAATAAGTACAACTTTGATAGCTAAATTTGAGAGTTAGTTCTTATCACTGAGTGTAGCAATTCACTCATTCCAATTTTTTATCTTTCAGAATTTATATATTTGAGTGCCCAGAAAAAGTCTTGGTTGATTTATTGTTGTTGTTGTTGTTGCTGTTCAAATGGATTTGCCTATTATATTCCCTTCAGAATACTTGGTGTTTCTCAAAGTGGTCCCAAAGAACTCTGCAGGTCCAATTTCACTCTGTATAAAGATAGTTTGGCTTCTGAATTGGGTATTTTCAACTCTTGGAGAAGTGAAATACCAGACCCGGGAGAAAGAAACACGTAATTTCACTTTTGTATGTTCCTGAGGACTAAACTTTATATCACACTTTCTTTGACGAGAGGAAAATGTGGAGTGGGATAACACATGCTGAAGTAGCAGTCACTTAACTGTCCTGTGACAGGAGCCTAGTGTAGATTATGCTGCAGGGAAACACGTAGTGGTCTGTGTCCTGTGGGAACGGGAGGCATAGTAATACCACTGCTAGCATGGTAGTCACTGGCTATCTCTGTCCACAAAACAGTAAGATATTTTAAACTTAAGCCTGCTTCTACAGTGAGGATATGACATCTAGACTTGACTGTTTCTAAGTTGATATAATTCTTTTAGAGGGTGGTTTAGTAATATACATCTGTAAATACCAGTATTTTCCATTTATTTTTGACTTGTTTGACATTTCTGAAGTATCAGTTCTAGAAAAATGACTGCAGATATGGAGACAGTCTTATTAGCTATAAAACCTTTTTCACCTGAGCCCGTGCTCTTATTTGTGCACTGGTGATGCGTTCTAATGAGGGGGCAGTGGGGCTGCTCCAAAAACTGCCACTGGATAACCAACAATTTTGTGATTATTAGAGAATCTTCTTAGCTAATTCTCAATTTGCTGTATCTCATGAAGTGCATAGTTAGGCCTTTTGATTAAGTAGCTAGGACCGTCTTTATTAGGATCTGGTTCATAATTCAGTGTAAGAACGCTTTAAACATGCAGCCCCTTCATTAGCTTTAGGTTTCTGGGTAAGTAGTACAGAGGAAATTTGTATGATGATAATGGCACTGAAGCAACCACATTCCATTGTATTGTTTGGTAAGTTCTAGTTTTCATTGAATTTCAGAGAGATTACTATTATGGTACAATAGTCTTGGTTATTGATATCATTGTCTGTTCTGTGCTTTATGAGTTTAGGATTGTACATTTGTAAAAAGGGCTAACGAAGTCTTTTCCCTTGCAAAGATGTCTTAGACACTGCATAGAGTGTCTGTGAAGTTCCAGCAGTTGGGCCTAATATATGGTAATGGCCAAAAGGGTAGCTGTTGAGAATGTCATATATTTGTAGAAACTTACCGAAAGGGAAAATGCATTTTATGATACTTTAAATAGGTTCGTATTTATATAATCACTTCTGTAACACATGCTTTAAAGGTATAGCTCTCATTTTTACTGACATCATAAGAAACACGTCTGTGTCAGTTTATCCGAGGCTTTTCTTTTTAATGGCTCTGGGAAGCAGTTCTGGCTTGACACTGAAATTGAGGCCGGTATTCAATGTGCGATTGATGAGGTTATATTAAGAGAATTCAGTCTAGCAGATTAAATTTCTTTTGGCTTTTTGTGTTGATCAGACTGGCCTTGGATTTGAGACAGTCCTCCTACCTGGCCTTCTGAGTGCTGGGATTATGAACATGTGCCACAATGCTTGGTAGAGATTAAATTTCTTTCTCCTCCATTAAGTTCTAGGAAGTTTGTACTTCTTTGTAGCATGAGTACTATATGTGGGGTAGACTTTTTTACTTTTTTTTTTTTTTTAACTGATGCTATTTCTCTGCTGTTTTTTGTTTCCAGGAACTTGAAATTGTAATTGGGGATGAACACATTTCTTTTACCACATCAAAAATAGGTTCTCTTATTGATGTAAATCAATCAAAGTAAGTATATTAAAGTGTTTGGTTGAGCTGATGAAACTCATTAGTGAGGCTCATGTTAGTATTATGTTCTACAAGCTAAGACAATTTAATATTCAGATGCCACTGGGACATTTAAGTAATTAAACACTTGTTATCTGGCTGCCAGAGGTGTTAACAGCATTATTTCACTAAGTACCCAGTTCAGCAGTGTGCATAATAATTCCCAATATTTGTAGGCCATTTTGTATTAAAAATCCTGGTTGTAATGTCATGAAATGTAAAGGAAGAAAATTTTGGATTGCTCCTCTTCATTGAGCCCATATTATATCTTACTTTCCCTTGAGTTTAGCACTTGAACTGAACAGTAGATGTGTGTGTGAACCAGCTCTGTGTCTGCAGGTTCTTTCCAGCGTACGTTTAAGCTTTGCTGGCCTGAATCATGTCACTTCGTCATGCTTTTCTCCCTGAAAATGTCCCTATATTGCTTTCATTGCTTATGTTGCCCTAGATCATAACTTTAGTGAGCTGCATGAGAACCTTGTTTTGTCTTCAGAGTTAGAAGCGTGCCCAGCACATAGTAGGTACTTCAAATAAGTATTGAAGAAGGGGAAAGATGAGCACACTATAGTAACTGCACACCGTTCATGAAGAACAACTGTCTGTTTAAACCTGTAAATAGATTCCTACAGTTGGGGAGGAGGTGGGCTATGTGCTGGCTTTGGTTTGTAAGTGGATGTGCTTCTCTCTGGAGAGCAGTGAGTGCTCCTGGACTGCACTCCTCCCTACGGGAAGAGCACTAGTCGTTCCGTTCGTTCACTTCGGCTGTCAGCAAGTGTTCCTTCTTCCTGAACTTTATAAGCTTAATTGTTACAAATGGTTTGTTTTGTTTCAGGAATTTATAAGATTATGTTTCATAGAAAACAAAAGGTAACTTTATTTATTTTTTAATTTTAGGGATCCCGAAGGACTCCGTGTATTTTACTATTTGGTGCAGGACTTGAAATGTTTAGTGTTCAGTCTCATTGGACTGCATTTCAAGATTAAGCCAATTTAATTTAATACTTTAGAGGTTATTTATATATTTAATTAAAGGAAGGTTTTTTTATTGATAATTTTGGGATTTTTATGAATGTGAAACTTTTGTATATAAACTCAATATGTGAAAAAAAAACAGGTTTAATGGTTTTCCTCTCTTGGGTCCATGTTTGTTAGACAGTCCCTATATGCATTTGATTCTGTAAGTAAAAGCTGCTTTTTGTTGAAATTTTGCTCTAATAAAATGTACTAAAGCCTGGATATGGAGTTTTTTTTTTTTTTTTTTTTTTTGACTGAATCAATGTCTTGCTTTAAGGATGGTAAGTTGTTCTGATTGGTATGGTTGGAAGAGCCTAGAGCAGAGGTTGCTCATCTGAAGTACACAGCCAACTTCCAGTTATTGAAGGCGCCATAGAATCCCTTTTCTGCTTCTGTACTCCATAGGACTTATCTTTGTGACACTTACAGAGTTTGTTTTCAGAGGTTTGAGATTTTGTTTTTTTACATTATCTCAAGGCTTCTTGGGATCCTTCATGTTTAAAGATTTCCTGAAGTTGTTGAAAGAGCATATTCAATCCTCCATGTTTGAAAGAGCATAGTCAGTACTCCACATTTGGCCTATCTTATTTTGCTCTTATTCCTGTGTATGTGCACACTATACGTGGGAGCTGAGTTGAAGCTTTACAAAGTTACATGAAATTTTGTTTTAACCATTTATGGTGTGCATGCCTATTGTTAGACTCTTACTGGAAACCCGTCATTCGTGTTTCCCAGGTCCTTTGAACTACTATTCATCTCTCATTATTTCTGCTAGCACGGCTGCTGGTGTCCTCCTCCTCTTCTTCCTTCTGGATGAACTGCCTGCCTCTGCCTCCTGAGTTTGAGGACTAAAGGCGTGTTCCACTATGGTGTCTAGAGCATAATCCCAGTGCTAGAAAAAAGATGCCGAAGGGTCAGGAGTTCAGTGCCTGTCTTGGCAATATAGTCGGTTTTAGACTAGCTTAGGCTACATGAAACTGTATCTCTAAAGAAAATGCCTTAGGGGAGATGAGCTGAACTCCCAACCTTCCCGATGATGAGCAGTGGAGTTGTGGGCCTGATAGGTCTTCAGTGTGTACATGGCCTTAGTTCTCTGAACTAATGTGGAGAACATGGACTGAAGAAGTGAAACATTGTGGATTGGTACTTAACTGGTTTCTCTTTTAAATTTTTTGTTTGCTTGCATGAATGGTTGCCTGCATGTGTGCTTGTGTACCCTAACACATGCTGGTACCTGCAGAGGCCAGAAGAGGGTTTTGGGTCCCCTTTAGGGCTGTGATTATCCCATGTGGGTGCTTGGATCCAAACTCAGATCCTCTGCAAGAACAGCCAGTGCGCTTAGCTTCTGAGTCATCTCTTCAGCCCCTGTTTTTCTTATGACCTTTAAGTGGGTTTTATCCCTGAGTGACACAGAGCCCAAATTACCCACTCGAAACCCTTCTTGGGGCCCCTTTTGTCACTCTTGCCGAGTTCTGGGGGCACCTTCCTCATTTCTCCACTCTTAGTGCTTGTGGTCCAGCAAGGACTATACGAGCAGGCACAACAATGCAGAGTTGTAGAACAGATGTGACTGTAAATGCTAGGGCAGATGGGTGGTTTAGGGCACAGGAAATCTTAAAATAGAGCTCTTCTTGGTTTTAAGAACTGTGAAGTTTACCATATTTCAGTCTTGTGAAGTTCCAGCTTAAGTACCAAGAGGTGTGAAGCTGGCCAGGCCCAGCCAGTCCTCCTGGCAAAGACTGTGAGTCACCTTATCCTTCCCTGTGGTCTGGTGGCCACTGCAGGTGTCCCTCACCTCAGCCTGGGGCAGGAAGAGCAGCTTGTAGCTGTGAAATGATGATGCCACTGAGGTCTGAGGGTCCCACTAGAGGGTTTGATTGTGTGACTAGGATTGTATCTGTCTCAGCATTCTAGGACAGGGAGTTGTGGCTTCACAAATAAAGGTCTTTACAGCAAAGAAACCAGAAAAATGAAGAATGTATATATATATATATATATATATATATATATATATATGTATATATGTATATATTTGTGTGTGTGTGCATGTGTGTGCATGTTTGTGTAGTTTTGTCTTTTTTTTTTTCACAAAATGAATTTGGAAGACATAATTCAAGAAAACAAAACATTTCCTTAAGTTTTCCAGCTTTCTGTTTTATTACCTGGTCATTTGAAGTTCAGTATTTTGTGCTGCCCTTCGGTCAAACAGCCACAATGGGAGTGTCAGTCCATTTCTTCTGAAGTGACTGTCTTCCAATGCTAATTGTGCTCATTACCAGCTTAGAGTTTTCTAGCCCTTCAGAGCTCAGTTACAGAGCTCAGAAGAATCTGCTGCTAATTTGACTTTACAGTTATTGGCATTCTGTCTCGGTATTCAACCAAAAAATTTCCATCCTGTGTCCCGTTTTTTGTTAGCTACTGTTCCTTATCAAGCACATTGGTAAGCAGACCACATCCTGTTCATGCTTTGGTAACAGTAACAGGCAAAACAGATGGGGGTTTCTTGCTCACAGACTTTGCATAATGGTAGAGGCACAAACAGTATGGAGAAAGCCCAAAGATGCAGGCGCTGCACTTGCTTAGCCTCCTTGGTGAGGATGACTCCTCCTCAGCAGTCACAAGGGTGTAAACCGCACCATTAATATATCCGTGGGCAAGTGTGATATAAGTCCTCGGCTATGGAGCCAGGTGTGAGTTTCCTGAGCAGCAGTGAGTCACTGCTGGAGAGCTCTCAGTTTTCGGCTTTGGCTCATCTGCCATCCTCATGTTCTTCCAAACACCTGCTCTTTTTGATAGGGTCGGAGAGAAAACCTAACTCATTCTGTGCGTTAGAGAAGTATCGGCAGGCTAGGAAGTGTTAAGTTATTTTGAAATCTAAGAGCTTTTTTTAAGATGTTATTTTTATTTTATTATGTGCTTTGGTGTTTTGCCTGCCGTATGTTTGTGTGAGAGTGTCAGATTTTGGAGTTACAGACAGTTGTTAGCTGCTGTGCGGGTGCTGGGAATCGGACATGGGTTCTCTGGGAGAGCAGTTAATGCTCTTAACTGCCAAGCCATCTCTCCAGCTCCTACATCTAAGAGCTTTCTTCTTTATTTCCTGGTTGCAGTTCTGCAGTTATTTTTACCTTAGGAAGTGGGTGACACATTCTCTCTACTTTAGAAAAAAAAAAGACTCTTTAAGATGCAGTGTTTTGCTCAAACTTATATGATAATGAAAGATTAGAGTCTTGGACTTTAAATATAATGTTTAAGGTTGAATGCAAGTTCCATTTTCCAGGTTATGATTAAAAACTTTATTTGTGAAGCTGGACCTGGTGGCTCACACCCCTAACATTTGGGAGGCAGGTAGGAGAGTCCCAGGCAAACCAGGTGTACATAGTGAATTCCAGGTCAGCCAGGACTACATAGTGAGACCCTGCCTCAAACAAAACAAAACAAGACAAAACAAAAAGCTATTTGTATATCTTGTTAAATCTTGACAAAAAGCCTGAAGAGAAGTTGCGTTTCTCTTTTGCGGTAGTCAAAAACTTTGTGAATGATGGGACATGCCTGAAGTCACAGGAGCTTGTAGGTGTTTCCACTAATGTCTCCAGGTGCATGCTTTGTGGCAAGCTAAAACACTGGCCCTTCTGAGTACACATGTATTCATATTCTCTGTATTCTGGAAGTCTTTATAGGTCCAGAGTTACAAGGTATCCTTGAGTAAATCAGATGACTTCTTTTTTCACATTGCAATATTATTTTTATTGCTTTATAAACAATACCATTCAAAATTTCCACTCCCTCCCCTCCTTCCATTTCCCTCCCCTCCCCCATACATTCTCTCCTGTAGGGATAAGCCCTCCCCTTGGGGGCGGGCTGCCCTCAGGCGTATGTTTACTGATATATTGGGCGGGCAGAGGCTGCGCGCCCCTTCCCTTCCTCTCCTGTCTCCGCTGGCTACTCCGCTGGAACCTTGGTTTCGTGAGTCTGGTTTTGTTATTAAACTTGTTCAAATACCTATTACCTTGGTGATTTATTAATCCGACCGCTGCAGTTGGCCGCCCAACGTGGGGCACAACACCTGCTCTTTAGACCCGCTGTGTCCGCAGCAGGTCAGGCACACAGGCTGCCGACTTCCCCGCCCGCAGCCGCGCGGCTCGGGACGCGAACGCGGCCCCGAACGCGATCGCCTTAGCCACTCCGCCCCCTCCGCCTCGGGTGACGCCGCCCGCCGGGCTCCCGCCGCAACCCCGCAGTCCTCGGCACTCCAGCGCCCGCCCGCCCGCTTTAGGTTAGCAGGCACGGCTTTGTTCCGCGCACCTCCCCCACACCGGTTCTAGGCTGCTGCGGCTCGCAGGCAGCTCTTTGTGTTCCTCTCGCAGAGCAGAGGACTTAACCCCTCCCTCTCTGCCTTGACGTTTGGAACTGAACAGGGAAGCTTAAATATTTGCGGTTTTACAACACAAACCGCCACATTGGGCCCCAAGGGGTCATTTGTATAAATTTCAGTCTTGAGGTTCATTTCAGATCAATTCTCCACGTGGATTCAAGTGGACTCTTTCGCCACCTCTGGCAGGAACCAGTCATTACAGGTAAAAAATTTTTTTTTCCTTTTATAAATAAAATGTCTGATAATATCACCTCTTCCAACTTCCATAACCTTTTTGAGTGTGCCATGTGGGAGATCCTACAAGAGGTGTCTAGCACCCCACATCTATGGATCCTTCTGGGATTAGTAGTTTTCCTTGGTCTTAAGTGGTTTGACAACAAAAGTCTGATAGAGTCTTTAAGAGACGAATCCAGGATTCTTAAGGCAGAGGTTGAACATCTAAAAACTATTGGAGATGAATCCAGGATTCTTAAGGCAGAGGTTGAACATCTACAAACGATTAAGCATGACAATGATCTTCTCATGAATCAGTTTAAAGTTCTACAGGAAGAGAACAGAACTTTGTTTAACAAGACAATGGTGACTGAAAAAAACTTAGAAAAGGTTCAGGCTGATATTAAGGAGAAATTTATTATTATGGAAGAAGGAACAGCTGATTTAAATCGTAAATTTCATCAGTCACTTTCTGAAGGGACTGAAACATTATCTCAGAGAATTAAATCGGTTGAATGGGAAAATCAACTTTTGTCTAAAGCTTATGACAGAGTGGTGGAAAGATTGTCAATACAAGAAGGCACGGTTTATGCCATAAAAATCATGTCCAAAGATGAGAACTTATCTCTAACGGACAAACTTCATACTTTAGAATCCTCAATGAGGGCTTTGGAACATAATTCTGGACAGGAGATACAGACATTGCAGAAGGCAATGGTGAATAGAATTGAAAAGATTGAGGAATTTCTAAATTCTGATTCTGATGAGGAAGAACAAACGGTAGAAAGGAAAGTTTTAACTACATCTGTGGGTAAATCCCTCCGGGACAATTTCCACAAATCTCTATCTACACCTCTACCTGCCTTTCCAGTAATAACGACAGAGAAGGTGATTGGTTCCAAAAACCCTAGGATCCTTAAGGAAGATACATGGGAGCCTGTCCGTATAAATGATCTCAAAGAAATTAAACAGGCTGTCACGGCTTTCGGGATGCACTCCTCTTTTGTTAAAGAGATGCTAAAATCTTGGGCCATAATGAGCAGACCAACGCCTTTAGACTGGACCCAGATGACCTCTGCAGTCCTTGAGAGTGGGACGCATTTAAGATGGAAATGCTTATTCAGGCAAGAGGCTAGACTTTTAGAACAGCAAGAAAAGGCGAAGGGAAGTGACATCTCCCTAGATAAAATTCTAGGTGAAGGACTCTTTTCCGATCCTCAGGAACAAGCTAATTTGGATGAAAGCATACTCTCCATATGCACTACAGCAGCCTTAAGGGCTTGGGACAGGGTACAAGACCCAGGACAGAGAATGGAATCATTTGTTACGATTAAACAAGGTCAGAGAGAACCCTTTAGTGATTTTTTACAAAGACTTACTAAGGCTGTACAAATAGGGATACCTGACCCTGACACAAGACGTATAATGATTGAGTCTTTGGCTTATGAAAATGCAAATGTGGAATGCAAAAAGATTTTGGGGCCTTTAAGGTTCAGATCAGCACCCTTGGAAGAATGGGTCTTGCATACACTGGATGTTGATACATTTGATTATGGCACTGAAGCATGGGTAGAGGAAGCAATTTCCAATGGTAAAAGGAGACATCAGAATACCAAATGTTTTAATTGTGGCAAAATGGGTCATATGAGAAGGAATTGTAAACAACGGACCTTCAGAAACAATAATAATGCGTCTTCTAGAAATAACAGAAATAGAAGGACTCAGCCTTCAGGTTTATGTAGAAGATGTGGAAAGGGTAGACATTGGACGAATGAGTGTAGATCTACAAGAGATAGACAAGGAAACCTGATACAGACGGGAAACGTGAGAGGGGGGGCCTCACAGGCCCCCATGGCAAACATGGTCCAGTCATTTCCAGTTTCTGCAGAGAACGTGCCTCGTCAGGACAATTAGGAAACCTCATGCCTACTGTTACAAACGATAATGAGCAGAAAGATGAGTTACGTGTGTTTTGGCAAACTTCTATAAATGATCAAAGACCTAAGCTGAAAGTGTGTGTAAATGGCATTTTTATTACTGGCCTGCTGGACACAGGTGCTGATGTAAGTATCATTACCCCAGAATCTTGGCATCCATATTGGCCTCTTCAGAATGTAAATGTTCAGTTCCTGGGAATTGGAACCCTATCTCGAGTAAGACAGAGCACGAGATGGGTTGAATGTATAGGGCCTGAGGGACAAATAGGGAAATTAAGGCCATATGTAGCCAGTATTGCAATGAATTTATGGGGTCGTGACCTATTACAACAATGGAATACCCAAATTAACATTCCTGCTAATTCTAGAGCCTATATTTCTGAGAATAATATTAAAAGATATTACAAACGGAGAAAACCGGCCATTCGGGCCGTACAAGAACAAACAATTGAAACTCCTTCAGAGATACCAACAGCATTGCCTCTAAAATGGTTGACTGAGAAACCAATATGGACAAAACAATGGCCTCTAGCTGAGGAAAAGTTACAGGCTTTAGAACAGCTGGTACAAGAGCAATTAGATGCTGGACATATAGAGGAATCTACCAGTCCTTGGAATTCTCCTGTATTTGTGGTTAAGAAAAAATCAGGTAAATGGAGAATGGTGACAGATCTCAGAGCTATCAACAAAGTTATTCAACCTATGGGTCCTCTGCAATCTGGAATCCCTTTGCCCTCTTTATTACCAAAAGGATGGCCTCTTATAGTTATTGATTTAAAGGATTGTTTTTTCACCATACCTTTACAAAAAGAAGATAGAGAAAAATTTGCCTTCACGGTGCCTACTTACAACAATTCTCAACCTTCCAAGAGATACCACTGGGCCGTCCTCCCCCAGGGTATGTTAAATAGCCCCTCCTTGTGCCAATATTTTGTGAACCAACCATTGCAAATAGTACGCAAGAAGTTTCCTGAATCTATAATATTCCACTACATGGACGACATCTTGTTATCCGATTCAAACATGGATACCTTGAACAGACTGTTTGAAGAAATAAAGATACTTTTACCTAAATGGGGATTGCAAATTGCTCCTGAGAAGATACAGAAGGGAGATTCTGTTAATTATTTAGGTTATAAAATAGGTTTGCAAAAAATTAAGACACAAAAGGCACAAATTAGGAGAGATCGCTTACGGACTCTTAATGACTTTCAAAGACTGTTAGGAGACATTTCCAGTCTACGACCAACTATTGGGATAACACCTGATCTAATAATTCATCTGAACAAAACCTTGGAAGGTGATAAAGATTTAAACAGTCCCAGAGAATTAACAGCTGAAGCAGAAAAGGAACTGACGATGATTGAGGAAAAATTACAACAGGCACATGTGGACAGGGTGAATCCAGAGCTCGATTGTATTCTCGTCATATTACCATCCAAAATTTCTCCTACAGGAATTTTAATGCAGAGAGATGATATTATCTTGGAATGGATCTTTTTACCACATAAACCAAGTAAAAAACTGAAAACTTATGTGGAAAAAGTCGCCGAGTTAATTATAAAAGGAAAGCTGAGACTTCGTCAATTAGCAGGCATAGACCCAGCAGAAATTATAGTGCCTTTCACTGCTGATGAACTAAAGAAATTATGGGAAGATAATGAACCATGGCAAAGAGCTTGTGCTAGTTTTTTGGGAGATATTAATAACAATTATCCAAAAAGCAAGAGGCTTAACTTCATAAAGAGAACTTCATGGATCCTTCCTCGAATCGTCCGTGATGCTCCAATAACTGGAGCCCGTACATTCTATACTGATGCCAATAAAACAGGGAAGGCAGGTTACAAATCGGAAGACTTGGGTAAGGTGGAACAAAGTCCTTATGATTCTGTCCAGAAGGCAGAATTATATGCCATTCTTATGGTGCTAAGGGATTTTAGAGAACCTATTAATATAGTTACTGATTCGCAATACGCAGAAAGAGTTATTTTACATATTGAAACTGCTGAATTTATACCTGATGATACAGAACTAACCTCATTGTTTATCCAGGTTCAAGATTTGATCAGGAACAGGCTCTGCCCTATGTACATAACACACATCCGATCCCATACGGGTCTGCCAGGTCCTCTAGCACAAGGTAATGCAGACATTGATCAGTTATTGATTGGTAGTGTGCTACAAGCCTCTGAATTTCATAAAAAACATCATGTTAATAGCAAGGGTTTGAAGAAAGAGTTTTCTATTACATGGCAACAGGCTAAGGAGATTGTAAAGAAATGCCCTACTTGCTCTTTCTATAACCAAACGCCACTGCCAGCAGGGGCTAATCCAAAGGGCACCCATAGGAATGAAATCTGGCAGATGGATGTGTTCCACTTTGCAGAATTTGGCAAATTGAAGTATGTTCACCACACCATTGACACTTATTCAGGCTTTCAGTGGGCAACTGCTTTAAGTTCAGAAAAAGCTGATTCAGTAATCACTCATTTATTAGAAGTCATGGCTATCATGGGTATACCTACACAAATAAAGACGGACAATGGTCCTGCTTATGCCTCTAGGAAAATGAAACGGTTTTTTGACTATTACAATATCAAGCATGTTACAGGTATACCATACAATCCTACAGGTCAAGCAGTCATAGAAAGATCAAATCGAACTATAAAAGATATGTTGAATAAACAGAAAGGGGTGGAAAACACCCCCAGAAATAGGTTACATAATGCTTTGTTAACCTTGAAT